ATACTATGACCTTAATATCTGTTTTTTCAAACTAGTCTTTACAATAGCATTGTTGAATATTCAGCTATTTCTTTATTCAGATCTTTTCAAATAGACTTCTTGTTATGCAATTTTAATAGATTTATATAACTACAAGGATTTATTTAATATTTATACTATCAAATTGTCAGTTTGCAGTTCTTTATATAACTATACAGATGTCTTATGATCTGCCAGTTAGGCTAGCACAATTATCATTATAGGTATTATAATCTAATTATTAGTAACAGTTGTCATAATATGAATATTATATAGGTAATTATCTTAATTTTTATTGTTAATGAAATTTGAACACCTAATCTATCATTTGGAAGATTGATAACCAAACTATTTTACTAAGTTGCTACACTCTTCTATATATAATTTATTCTTGTTATAATATTATTGTTTAATTATATATATATTTTCTTTATTAAATAAAAACTTTTATATGAATTTACAAACTTCTGTTTTTTGAATTAACTAAATATTAACAGTTTTTATAATTTATTATTTATAAATATTATTTGTTTAATATATTATTTACAGTATAGTTAAAATCTTCAAATATAATTATTTGGTTCTGGTTTAACTTCCTAAAATACATTTTCTAAAATATTATTTTATCAAAGTTGTAATACTAAAAATCTATTTTACTAGAAAGACAAAAATAGGTCTATATTATTCCACTAAAAATTAATTAACTGATAAGTTTATTATATTGGCAATTATTTTACTAACAGATTATTTTATCAATATATTTTTTAAAAATTATACTAATCTTAACTTTAATTCTAAACTTAAGCTTTATAATGATGGCTAGAATTACTTTGTTAATGAAATAACTGTTAGTTAAATAAACTGTCAGTAAAATAAACTTGTTAGTTAATTAATATTTGGTAAAATGATACAAACCTATTTCTGTTCTGTTAGTAAAATAGATTGTCAGTATTATAACTTTAATAAGTAGTATATCAGAAAAATAAGCTTCAGAAAAGTAAACAACTATTTAATTATTTATATATCTTTTTTTATTAGAAATAACTTTTATAATTTTTGCTAAGTTTTTTTGATTAATAAGTTTGTTATTTAGTAATATATATATTTCTATTACTATAATTATTTATTAAAAACTTTATTTTTTTTTGTAATATTTATCTTGTCTTTATATCTTTTTTTTTTGATGTTAAGATAACCTCTTTGGTCTTTTGATTTTTATTAATGACTTTTTTGATAATGTAATTCTATGAACTACTACAGAAAAGAGTACAATTAACTATATATATAATTTTTTTATATTACCTATTTAAGAAGTTTACCCAAAGATTTTTATTAATTATTATATTTAATACTTCTGCTTGGATGTTCTATTTTAAACTTTTTGAACCTATAAACTGTATTAACTTACTGGATCATATCTAGATGCCCAGATCATTATTTTAATTTTAAAACTAATTTATTCTCAAGGTAAATTCTCTAGAGCCTTCTGTATCTATTTTTATAACTGATTTAGATATTGCTATAGCAAAACTAACACTTGTGATCAGAGTTATATCATTTAACTGCTATGTTCTTGTAAAGTTCTTACAGATCCTAGTATTTATTTCAAATTATAATCCTAATACTTTAGTATACTCTTGCCTTTTCACCTGCCTTTTTACCAGACTTTTAATCCAGATAGCCTATATAGAATTATGACTAATCTATCAATATATCAGATTGACTTAATATTCTTTTTCTTTAGTTCATTCTAACAATATAGTTAGTAGTATCTCTGAGACTTCCAACTCAAAGGTTTTTGCCCAACTGACTACTATGACCAGGTACTATAATCTTAGTATTTGTTTCTTTAGGCTAGCATTTACAGTAAAGCTATCAAAGATCTAACTATCTTTTTATTTGAATTTTTCTAAATAAACTTCTTGTTACTTAATTTCAATATATTTATAGTCATAAGAACTTATTTAATGTTTGTACTGTCTAATTTGTCAGTTTGCATTCTTTTGTATAACAAATTACACAGATGCCTATGACTTGCTAGTTATGCTAATATAATTGCTATTACAGATATTCTAATTTAATTGTTAGTAACAGTTGTTATAATATAAATATTATATAGATGATTATTCAAATTTTTGTTATTGATAGGATTTGAATATTTAATCTACCATTTAAAAGGTTAACAACCTAACTATTTCACTAGATTACTACAACCTTTTCTTTATATCTTCTATTTTTATTACTAATATTTTTTTATATATTAAATTAGTTTTGTGTTATATAAAAGCTCTAATCTACTTATACCTTATTTTTAAATTATTTTGTTGTTTATTTATTTATTTAATATATATACTATACTCAATTTAATCAAATTAATTATTGTTACAAGTATAGTATATTATATTTATTTTGTTATTGTTTATTGTTATTAGCTAATTATATATTCTAATTTTTTTTTAAATTTAAGATAATTTTTTAATTTTTTTAAAAATTTTTGTTTAAGCAAATAAAAGGTTTGTTATAAGAAATTTTATCTATATTAATATTTAGATAAAGTATTTATATTTTTATATACTAGATCTTTTTTTTTAAAGAGTTAAAAAATATTTGCTTATTAAGTTTTATATTTTTTTTGCAAATTTGTTTCAATTTATTTCTAAAAATAAGAATTAGTAAAGAAAGTAAATTGTTAGTAATATTTAGCTAAATTTTAAAAAAATTTTAAGTTAGTAAAAATTGAATTTTTTGTATAATATTTATATTTTTGCAAAGTATAAAACTATATTAGTATTGCATTAAACTAAATTTTATTAATTTTTATTTACATTTTCTATTAATTAAAATAATTTATAATTATTTTATATTATTTTTTTAAAATATAATATTTTAGTTAAAACTAATATTAAAATTAGTAAATTAAAATTTTATAAAAAATTTTTTTATTAATATATAAAGAGATTAATATAATTTTTAGAAAAAAATATTTATTTTATTAATTTTTATATTATATCTAATTTCATTTTTATAACTAATTCTAATTAGTCAAAATCAAAATAATATTATTAAATTTATTTAATCATAAGTAAGGTTTATTTTCAACTAATAGAAAAAATAAGTAAAAATTAATAAATGTTATTGAATTGCATTTTCTATATAGTAAAATGTTTATATAAAATTTAAGATTAATAATTTTTAATTTAAAAATAAAACTTATATTTTATTCTAATTTTTATTAATGTTTTATTATTCTATTTATTTATTATTATATTAATATCTAATTATAAAAAATATATAGTAATTTAGTAAAATAAATAAGTTGTTATTTTTTCAAATAACATATTAAAAATTTAAAACTTACTAATAGTAAAAATTTGAATTTTTACCTATATTATAACAACTGTTTTTTATTAATTAGTTGAAACAGATATTTGTAACTGTAATTACATTAGTATAACTGACAGATCATAGGTATCTATATAAACTTGGTTATATAAAAAGATGCAAATTGGTATTAAATAGTACAAGTCTAAAATAAGTTTTTGTAATTGTGTTAATTTGTAAAACTAAAAAAACAAAACAAATCTTATTTAAAAAAGCTTAAATAAAGAAATAATATAAAATTTTAATGATACTATAGTAAAATCTAAATTTAGAAAACAGATATTAATATAAAAAAATTGAATAAGCAAGAACTTTTAGATAAAAAATATTACACTTAGATCATTAAAATTCAAACTAAAAAAAAAAGAATATCAGACTAAACTTAATATACTAAAAACAGGTCATTAGTCTATCAAGCTATCTAATTTAAGAATCTAAAAACAAAATAGTAATATACTAAAAATATTAGGAATATACTGTAAAATTAATACTAGGATTTAGATGAACTCTGCAAAAGCATAATCTTGTTAATAGTTTATAAAATAAGTAGATTAGTTGACAAAAAGGCATCCTGAACCCTATAGTTAGATAATATGCTCTGAAGCAGATAATAGCTTAACAATTATACAAAAAAAAAAGCTAAATGTTAAATTAAATAAAATTTAAATATATAAGAGTTAGTATGCTATTTATTAGATGTAGTATAAAAATCAAAATGTTTAATTAGATAATCTTTTAGCAGATTACAGACACTTATCTTGTACAAATTATATATACAGTTTTTCTCCTTTATAGTCATCTTTTTTTGCCTATTATTACATAAATTGTTAAAACCAACTTATATAATACTTATAAAATTTAACCTCTATATAAGCACAAACTCTTTATAAGCACCAAATTCTTAAAACCAAGGGTGTGATTATAGAAGAAGAAGACTGTATATAATTAAAAACACAATAAAGGTGATAACTGCTATTAACATCAGCCTTAACAAAAACAAAAAAAAATCTAATTATAATCTTGTTGATAATTTTTTGTTCTATTGACAATTTTTATTCTATTCTAAATTCTATTGTTCTATTCTATTGTTTTATTGTTCTATTTATTTATTGCTATTAACATTGATAATATTATATACTGTACATGCACTGTTCCATTTATATTTAGTGCCTTCTTAAAAAATTTCAGCTAATTGATTATCATGTTTTTTCCTATCTGAAAATTACTCAAATTATCTAATTTTCAAGGCTCACTGCATTGGCATGACGATTTGTATTAACTAATTGTATCATTATCACATCCGGTTATAATAAACCTGGTTGATCGGTCCAAAAATTATCAATTCGGTTATAATTTATAGCCAGATAAACCCGGTTATAAATTCGATTACGATAACCGGGTTCATTTTTAAAATTTAGCAAATACATGTAATAATTACCTATAATGTAAATTAGCAATTTTCTAAATTTTTATTATATTATTTTAAATTTACAAAACACATAAATAGAATATATTTATAAAGCCTATTTAAAGTTTGTTTTGATATATATTTGAAAAAAACAATACAATCAAGTATAATTTTTTTAAAAACTTTATATACCTTACAACTTTAGCTTTGAAACTTCTTCAGCACTAAAATCAATTCTATTTTTTATTTATAAAAAAAAAGTCCAATAACCAAATTAATGTAAATATATTAAAAACAAATCTTCCAATTTAAATACTATTCTATATTTACTCTATATATAAACAAACTTAATATAAAAATGATAAATACCTTAATCCAACAATCTTCTTAGCTTCAGCAACAGTTAGCCTCCAAGTAATAGGGCTTGTAGCCTTTGTAGCACTTCCCCAGTAGTCATAAATTTCTGATAACTATTAATTGTACAATTGCAATTATATATTGACAGATGTAAAAAAAAAAATTAAAACGAAAAGAAATTTGTAAGTTGAACAAACGGCATAAACTTCAAAGCACAAAATATTCTGACAAAATATTTTGTGCTTTAACTATGCAAAACTATTCTGGCAATATTGGTCACACTAATATGACTTACACTTTCCAAATTCAATAATGTTGAAATTTGGTTTAATCTTGTCATTTTATCTCTAAATACCCATCGCATTTTGGTGGAGAAATAATTGTTTACAGCCCTCAAATCTTTATCAAATCTGAGAGCACCATACTTTAAAACAAATAAATAATTGATAAATTTTGAAGACTGCTAATTGAGGTAAAAAAGAAAATGATGTATGAATTATAAAGATTCACCTGATTGAACTTTGTACCAAAAACAGTTTTTTCTAGCATATTAGTAACTGATTCTAATATATGCATCATTAATTGATTATAATTGTTATCTGAGAACGTTGACTGTTTAAAATCAAAAAATTCGTTTCATATCAATTTTATGCAAAATGCCAAAATTTAAAATAACAAATCAACTACTTACAGAAACTGAATTAAAATACCTGATAAATTTGAATTAATATATCAAATCCAGATACAAAACGTTTTGCAAAACTATCGTTTGCTTCTTGCTCATGATATTCATCTTCGCTAAGAACATATTTAATATCTTTATAAGCTTCTTGCAAAATTGGACGAATTCTTGGCTTTACCATTTGTGTAAACAGTTGCTCAAGTCCATTCTATTAATTCATATCATTACATATATGCGTAAAGATTTTTGTAAATTTCTTATATAAAAGATATTTCGATGTTCACGAGATTAACAACACAAAGCCAATAAAAGAACCTGTAAAATCTGTTGAAACTTGTTTGTCGTAGTGTCATTAAGCCGTATAAAGCATTTCTGTACTTTTTCTTTGTTATCGTCACTAATTGAAGGTAATGTCATTAATTCCGTCGTGAGTCGTTGCATATAGTCACAACTTACATCCAAATTATTTAAAAGTATCTGTTAATTCAATTAACATTAAATAACCTAAATAAATATTTAGATAAATTTTACGAAAAAAAAAGTAATGAAATAGTCAACCATATAACCAGTTTTGGCATCTTTTGGTTCAGGAGTGGCAAAAGCTGTTACAAGTCTTTTCTGAAACAATGTAATATAATCCAATTCTAAACTTTGATTTACAAGATTAACCATAGAGGTCAAACACTCAAAATCAGAAGTAGACAGTGCTCGAGTAAGACATTCCTTGAGAATATAAAAAACATCGCCAACACAGCTTGAAGTTATGCTACCTTCATCGTAATCATCAATTATCATGGCCTATTTTATAAATTATTGAAATAAAAGATTTAGTAAGACTATTCTAAAATAAATTTATATATCACAAATATAAAATTAGTACAATACTTTTTCAATTGCTTTTCTAAAAAAATATTCCTCCATGACAAGAAAATCGGCCATCAACGATTTAATTTGTTTAGACAATTCACTGTTCCTCATTATACTCGTTGGATCATAATCATTGCCGTCTTTTTCAATTAATGAGACATCAGTTTCTCTATTTGCTTTCGTAGCTTCAACTTCTGACTACACATTGAATATAATAAACATATTTTCAAATTAAAGCCAATGTATTTACAGTCAAAAACTAATTACAATTTTGGACATACATTTGCTCTTGCTTCAATAAATCTACAATACAAGTGAGTTCTTGCACTAATCATTGCCAACTCAGTCAATACAACATCAAATTCTCTAGGATCGGGTACATTATCAATTTCTCGGGGTTGTCCAGAACGTTGAGGGCCAATAGGTTTTTTCGACGTATTATATATTTTTATATCAGCAACCTAAAAATACAAAAACTTTTACATATAAGTAAACAAAAAAATTTATAATTTAGAGGTGAAATAAACGATTTTCTAATACAATATATATATATATTAATTTACAACATCTAACCTTTCGATGGATTTGTCTTTCATCACGAAAAGTATCTAAAATAATTCGACACTGCTTATCACATTCTTCTTGAAGTCTCTCAATGACTCTGATCATTTTCCCTGGACCATAATGAGCGTCAACCACCGGTTGATGTTGGTCAATTATAGTGGCAATATTTTCAAATAATTTGAGAATCGCATATCCATAAAAATTCGGATCAACAGCTATTGAAAATAAACAAAAACAAATAGCATAAATAATAAATAAATAAGAAAATGAAAAGAGATTTAAACAAGATTAAAGATAATAATTTACAGACCAATTTCCGCCAAATTTGCATGGCTCTTTCCTGAAATAATCCCACATACAAACTTTGAATATTTATCCAACCCTTCTATCTCTTTACTAATCAATGGAAACAATTTAAAAAATCTACTGATCCCATTTTCATCTCTTGCCTGTACTGCAGCCTCGAATTCTTTCGAAAAAATCAAATACAATCTTTCCTTAACATCCTTTAACGTCTTTTTTGGTACATCTGGATACTCAGATGAAGGTACGGCAATATCAGCGAATTCACCATCCAAAATAGCAGGATCAAGAAGAAAAGCGCGATTCACATAAGAAGCGGCAGTTTCATAATCTTTCATGTAAAGAGCTTGATGAACGCCAGTGATACATTGTTTTAATTCTTGAACATCCTCAACTTCTTTGATTGATTGTTGAACTCTGGATTGTTCAAGATCTAGTTGACGGACTTGAGCACTTATACGTTCTGCTACGGTTGAAGTGGCATTTATTGTATTTAGTAGACTTGCAGCTTGAGAGAGAAGAGTGTCTAATTGAGGTCTATATGTAATTATATGTTAGATAAATGTCATTGTAGGAAGGATCACTAAGCAAGTTAAATAATTCTTACCCGAGAATTTTCAACTTATCCAATTCAGTTTCAAGCTGTGACCCTTTTTCCAACAATTCATCTAAATTAGCGTCAACTTGATTTTCTTCTAAATCCAAAATTCGCAAGCATTCCTGGATATCTTCTACATTTTTTAATGATTTTAAATAAGACAACGATAAGTTCGATGGATTTTGTGGTAAAGATATTGATGATGGCATTGTAGAATTGTAAAGCTGAAAATTAGAAAATAATTTAGGTAACAGATATATAGCTCGCATAATTATTTGTGTAATACAGCATAGAACAAGTTCGATTTTATTGGCTAAGAAAAAATGATCGTCATTTACGTTGATAAATTTACAAAAAATTCGAATTTTCAGTGATCACATCACACGTGCGGATAACATTTAATTTACACTAGGTAAATGCATAGAATTGTATGTCCGGAGCGAGTATTAAATCACAAATTATACTAGGATAATGGAAACCATTAGGAGTCCGAAGAACTTAGGGCTGTTAAAAGTCCGATCCTATCCGTCCGAACTCCTCAAATAGGGACTTTGATCAGGACTCGATCCTTAAGTCGATCCTTGAGTCATGATAACGTGATAATCTCTATCGTTATCGTTACATATTCAAAAAATAATTATCATCGTTAAACTTATCGTTATTATTAAAAACTAACACTAATTATTATTTTTATTTTACATTTACTTTCAAAACTTCTGCTTCAGACCAACTTTTTATACATAGAGTGATCCTTGTAGATTTTTCAAGAAGACTATTTCTTGTAAGATTTATCGTATGTTTTGTTACAGAAAAAGCATGCTCACATGGAATGCTTGTAGCTTGCAGTGCAAAGTAGTTTGCTGTCATTAAAGCTATATTTGAAAAATGGTAAGCTTTCATTTTCCATCACAACAATGGATTAGTATATGGTTCTGTAAGTAATGAAAGGTAGTTTATTAATTTATTTAATAAAACTTGATTATCTTGACTTAACTTTTTCAGATTTTTAAAATATTCTAATAGATCTTTTCTAAATTCTACCATCATTTTATTTATAAACTAAAATGAATAAAAAATTTTCAAACTTTCAATAACTAACTGGTGATCTTCTTTATTAAAAGTTTTGAACTTAGTAGATGAATCAAGTAGAGTTGAAATTGTCAAAAATTCTAAAAGATAAGCTAGTATTTTAATAATTTTTTTTATTTTTTGAGTTGTTTCATGATATATAGTTATATTTGTAGTTTTAATAAAATAATCAAAATGGATTAGAAGTTTTTGAAAAATTATTTGTAATAGATTATGTAAAAGTATTAATGTTTTTGATAATTCTAACATTGTCTTATAGAAAGGTTTAAGAAACTGAATTATTTTATTAATTATTTTTTAATCTTTTGATTCTAAGTAGTTTTTTTTTAAATTAGGACAAATTAATACTAAATAGTCTATAATGTTCTTAATTTTTATAAGTTGTTTTAATATAAGATAGATAGAATTTCATCTTGTTTTAATATCAAGTTTAGGATAAAGAAATAGTTGATTAAAAATTATAAAAATTCATTTTATTTTTTCTAAAATATTAGGTAAATTTTTAATTTTATTGCAGATACATTGTGCCTGTTTTATCTGCTTAGTAAAATATTTTTGTTCTTCTTTTATAGTAAGGTTTAAAATATGTATAGCATACTTTATATATATAAAATTAAGATTAATATAGTCTTGTAGATAATATAAACACATTTGATTATTTGACACATTGTCACCAATAAAGTTTAGAATTTTATTTTTATCTCTAGATTTTTTATAAGCTTAACTAATTTTTTTTCAAAATACATATTGGTATAGGATTTGTATAAGAATATAAAATCAAGAAAAAGAGTTTTTATTGTTCACTTTGCATCTACCTAATGAACTGTAATTCCAAGAAACTGTTATTAATTACATGTTATTCAAACATTAATGATAAGTACTAATTTACTGTAATTTGATTTGAGTATATTTTTTATTTCTAATCTTATTGATTTAATATTTTTTTAATAGTCATAGAGACTGTTTGATAACAGAATAGCTTATATTATGGATCAAGGTTTAAAATAAATTTAATAAAAGAATTGTTATCAACTATTAAAAAAGCTAGTTAACTTTTAATGATTAATTTATATAAATTATAGTTCAAAAATTTGATACATTTCTTTTTAACTTTATTTGTTGTTAAGTATATAATGCAAGTAACTTTAGGATTTTTATGCTAAAATTTCTGTAAAGATCTAGATGTTTACTTTCAAAATAGTATAAAATTGTTAACAGAGATATACTTGTACTCTATTTCTAGGTTTGTTGTCAGAGTCATTAGAATATATTTTACAAATGCAAGTATTATTTTTATTTAAGTTAAGGTAATCATAAATAGGCAATGTTCTTTTTTTTGATTTTTTTAAACCATTAATACTATTTTCATTTGGTGAACTATGATTATTAATAGGTTTATTACTAATGTTATTTTTATTTAAAAAATAAAGAATTTATAAAAAAATAGATCAGAATATTATTTAAAGATTTTTAATATTATAAAAATATTTTTTTTAAAAATAAATTATAATATCAACAAAAAAAATAATAGTCTTTTATTTGTTTTATTTATTACTACAACTACAATAATAATAAAAATTAAAACTTACAATAATTATTAACTTTAATAGAAGTTTTTTATTTTAATAAACTTCTATAAAATTAAAAATTTTTATTAAATAATTAAAATTGTAAAATTAATATATAATTAATTTTAATAGTTTTTATGTAAAATTAATATTAACAATTTTGCAAAATCTTTGTAAAACTAATTCTTAATAGCTCTTCTTACAGGTTTAATTTTTAATAGTTTTTTCTTACAAGACTAGTTTTTTTTACAAGACTACTTTTAATAGTTTCTATTTGCAAGACTAATTTTTAATAGTTCACCTCTTGCAAGACTAATTTTTAATAGTTTTTCCTTTTGCAAAACTGATTTTTAATAGTCCTCTCTTTTGCAAAACTGATTTTTAATAGTTTCTCTTACAAGAATAATTTTTAATAGTTCTTTATGAAATTTTAATATTCAGTATAGATTAGTATAAATTAGCTAATCAAAATAACCAATTCTTAGAACAAAAGACATGCTGACTTCTACATTCAGACTTTGTCTGAAGTTGACTTTAAGTTGGTTCTAAAAAGTCTCTAAGTAGTCAACTTAAGAACTAGATCTTACAAGCTTTTTACAGTCTCAAAAGAACTATATACTATATTAATATTGTTAATTGTTAATACATAAATAATTATTGATAATTTTTTACATGTCACATATGTACATTTGACCTATATTAAAGTAACTAATTATATTAGAGAATTTGTTAACAGATGGACATTAGTGTAACATGTTTACTCAACAGTTTAATTCTTCAAACAATTATATATTTATAATATTATATAGGCTAGATGTTAAAAAAAAATAAAAATTAATATTTAATAAATTATAAAATAAATACTAATTTGTGTTTTAAATACAACAAAGATTGATATGCATCCAACTGATTTAAAAATTGAAAAGTAGGCCATATAATTCAGTATGCATATAAAAATTTCTAATAAGTGCTAAAAAAAGGGATGAAATTGACAAAAGAAATAATTAGCTAATACAAATTTATAAAAAAGCTTTAGTTTTTATAAATCTAGATTTTTTATTTTATTGTAAAAGTTTTAGACCATAACATTAATTTTTTTTTTTTTTTTTGGTATTAAGGTAAGGCCTTGCTTATATCTTTATTAATAATTTAAAATAGTTACATGTATATATGCTATGACCGAGGCCAACACTTGCAGTTAGGGCTAACTATTAAACTGCTAACTATACAACTACTACTATTTGTACAAAACAAATAAATTAAAAATTACATGCAAGAATAAAAGCTCAAACTAATTTATCTGCGATCTAAACCTACTATAGTGATTAAAGCTTATTTAGATTTGAATATTTAGTATATAATTTGATGATATGCTATATTTGATCCATAGAATAGACCAAATATTGCTTTTGCAAATTGCTTATTAGAGTGAATATGTAGTTGATCTGGAAGTCTGCAGAAGTATAAGTAAGTATAGTTTCTACAGAAACATGTATGCTTAGTTGCTGAGTTAGGTAGTATTGAAGGTTTATTGATTGGTTGGAGTTGAGGTCTATTTTGTTGTTTTTTCCAATTTAAAAAATAAATGCAATATATTTTCCATAATTGCTTATATGATTGTTCATTAATATTAAAAAAATATTAATAATAACTTGTGAGGCAGTTTTGTATAATATGTTGGAGTTTTGAACTATTGATATGAGTGACTTTGAAATGAGTTCTTTAAAAGTAAGATTAGAATAAAATGTATTAGGTAAGGTGTATAAGGAGTTAAAAGCTGAGTGATGAAGAATTTTATAAATTAAATTGTTTTTTTGGTAAGTATTAAGATCAGATAATTTGCTAGAGATAATTTGATTGGTAGATGTTTGAATAATTTGGTTAAATAAAAGTATATTAGTGCAAATATGTCAATAAGAATGAGAGTTAGGTAGATTACAGTGAAAGCAATTAGTATCTAAATATTAGATTGGGTAAATATTATGAAATAGTTGGTATGTTGATAACTCGTTAAGAAGAATTTTGATTTTAAAAGATTTTAGTTGATTGAGTCTAAAATTAGTAATATTGTGTGAGGGTTTTTGATTATAATTAAAATAGAGCCAAGTGAATCTCTAGTCAATGTCCTAATTAAAGTATGACCACTCATTATTATGTTTTTAAGATGCCCATATAGCTAATATGTGGGCTTTACATATTTGCTTGATAAAATATCTTGTAGGAAGTTCTACGTAATGTTGCTCCTATTGAAAAATATGATAAGGATTATAAAGAATTGTGTAATTAAATGAAAAAAATAGTAATGATGAATATTGTTTGGCAAGAGAGTCTGTTTACTCATTAAGATTATTATCTGAATAGGCTTGCATTTTGTGAAAAATAATTTGTAATTTGTGTGATTTGATAATATTAGAAAGAGTATACCAAATGGGCCATAAGCTAAATTTGAATATCTTATTAGGATGATTTAAGTAAAGTTGGAGGTTGTTAAATTTGAAAATTACTGATTGAGAATCAGTAAAAATATTAACTACAAAATTGTATGAAGCTGT